TATTTTTACTGTGTTTTTTTTTTACAATTAAATTTTCGAGTTTAAATTAATTAAGATTTCTTTAACTAAAACTAATTTAAGAATCGAATTTTGGTAAAATGCAGTGTGTCGGCGAGAAAATGCCGTTATAACAGTAAAATATTTTGTTTTTTTATTATGAATTTTATTAATTTACTATTAAATTAACTTTAAAAATCAATTTTTCTACAGTAAAATACGTTAAAGTGATGATTAAAAAATGTCTTTTTATTGTTTACGAATATGAATTTTACTGCTCTACAGTTAAATTTTAATTTAAATTAGTTTTCTTTAATTAAAATTAACAAAAGAATCAGTTTTAATGTGATTTTTTTATGTAATAAAATGTAAATATAATTTTATATAAATTACAGTCGAACCTGTAATAAAGGCCACTATTTCATGAACTGACTTTTAAACAAATAATCCCTACAAAATCATTTCCAGACAACCTCTACCAAACGACAGCCACATTTTATGTTCCCATCGGTGTCCGTCATTCGCAGGTTCGACTGTATGATGATGTATGTATGATGATAAAGCCACCTCCCAACAACGACCATTTTTTCAGGAACTTTCGAACAGAAAATGAGTACAAATTAATTTCCAAAAAAACCTCCACATTTTGTCTGTCGGTGTCCGTTATTTACAGGTTCCACTGTGTAACAATCAACGCGTTAAGATAATAAGTATTAATTAAAATTAACGGCGAATATTCGTTTCTTCTTGCAATTTTTAACCGATTAATTCCTGGCTTTTTAATGTCATTTCTTTTACTTCCCGATTTCGGCCGTAGAGAGGGGGAAAAAAGAAAATAAGTAAATAAATAAAATACAAAATGGAAGAAAACTTGCTACATTTCAGTCAATTCGACACAAACAGAAAGTAGTAGTAATCAATAAAAGCTGCGGGCGAAAATTGTTACAGTCAAGTAAACGGAAATGATCTGAAACTAACATTAATCTGCACTGAAATAACGTAGTTGATAGTTGTGAAATGTGAAAGCATTAATACGGATTTACCTTTCAAATTCGACTAAAATGGTTTTAATAGTTTAAATCTCTTTAACTAAAGCCACGATTAATCTCACGCCAGCTCTTACAATCGAATTTATACGAATTTAATACGCGCCCGGAGATCCGTAAACCAAAGTATTTACTAGTGTTCTACGCGCTCCCATCGAAGAATTCGACTTTTAATTCAAGAAAAGAAAAGAAAAAAAACCAAAATACCCTGATCAAATTTATATAAATGGTATTGAGGAAGGTAGATAAATAATAAATTTATCTAGAAACTACAGGATAAAAGATATATTTGGAGAGAAATTTCATTTTGGGAAAAGTGTTACGTTGAAAATGTACAGATAAAAAGAAAAAAAAATAGTATTTTTTGGGATTTACTCGAGTATTAAATGCGGATAAAATAAGATTAGGTGGCTAAATTTAATGGAAAGAGTATAATCTTCTTTCCTAGTTTATACATAAGTAAAATTTTATGTTTAAAAAAAGCATTTTGAAAACTTTTACAATATTTTTCTTTCGGGATGATGATGATGCTCCTTTTATCTAAGAACCATAATTCTTCATTTTTTTATAAATTTAAAATTCGCGTGGAAAATTTCAAGATAAAAATGGGGATTTAGCTAATAAAATTGTGTACAAAATAATTTTTACACAACGGCAACGCTTTCATTCTCGTCGGTGTCCGTCATTCGCGGGTTTAACTGTATAATAATTAATAAAAGCCACACCTCAACAACGACTCATTTCCGGAACTTTCTTTTGAGCAAAAACATATACAGAATAATTTCTAGATAATTCTACCTCCAAACAAAGGCCACGTTTTATGTTTCTGTCAGTGTCCGTCATTCACAGGTAGTTTGGCTATATAATCATTAACGTGTTAAGATTGGGTTGCATTTTTCAAAAATTGTAGATTAACAAATTTCCAGTCTGTCCTTTCTTAATCTTGAGAATGGAGTTAGATAGATGAAAGTCGAGACCAGATATAGAAAGCTTAGGGGCGTGAGGCCCAGATTAACTATATACGAACTTCTGGTCCAGATTGTAAGTCATGTTATTTTAGTTAAAAATGTTTATGGCAGAGTTAGATGACCAGCATGGCTCTGTTGTTAACAGGAAAAGTATGATTTACAGGAGCAAGACACTACTAAAATTGAGAGCATTGTGTCACAATAAATAATTTTTTCGTATTACTTAAAATTAATGGCAAATATTCGTTTCTTTTGGCATATTTTACCAATTAATTCCTCCACGTAATTCCTCTATTTAGCGTTTTTTTAATTTTTTTAATCATTAAAAAACTGCTTTTCCCCTATTGATGCGATGATTAGAGTGAATGAGTTTAAATGTTCAAAGTTTAAGAATTAATCTAGGTGAATAGATGCTAAAAATATATTATTTATTTAATAAATGTTTGTTTAATTTCTTTTTCGATATTCATTGTACGAAAGAATAACGGATTCTTTGCCTTTCCCGATTTAGATATCGGATATGGCTTGATATTTGCCTTTGAAATATCGGAAAAATACATGCTCTGTACGATTCGATGAGTTTTATATAGGTTATTTTTGTCGTATTTTGTACGCTCGATAAACGTAAAAAGTACGAAGTGAAATATGTAAAAACAAGAATGTTTTTTTAGTCCCTACCTGGCTCTATCATCCAGCACAAGAAGCCCGAACTAAATGGCTTTCTGACCTGAATTTGGCCATTTTGGCCAGCAGGGTCCAATAAATTTGGCCGTTTTGGCGAACAGGGTTTAGGGGATGCCAGGTAATTGCCCTGTTTGCCCATAGGATAACGCACCACTGGCAGGGTCCGGTTTAAATAACCAAACATGAGGCTCTACCGTATGGAAGATCTCACATTTGAGGGCCTCATATTTGCGGAGTTTCAAAAATATATTTGTCTTGTATATTAAGAAAAAAAATGGCATTTTTTAAAAAAGTCGGCATCAGAAAAACAATTAATTCGAGCTTCAATTGACTTCTTGAAAGGTTCTACCTCTTCTACTATGAAACCCAGCTTATCAAGCACTCATATATAAATTAATGAAGTTAAATTATATTGATTTTGTTTAATTGTTTCACTAGATAATTTTCTGTATAATCAATTATGATTTTGCATCATTTTTAATTAAAATTAGGGTTAGTGGTCCTAGTAAGGGACTCTTCACCTGTCTGAGGAACCAGGATTCGAATTCGAAGCAGACCACGTGACGTTTTATGAATTTCGTTTCCCATTTACCATCCAAGTTACTAGAATTCCTAAAGGGCATAATCCAGATACTATATAGAACCCATTGCCCTTGAACATAACGTCCAAAATTCAAAAATTTTACGGCCCGATGGGTTATAAAGACACCAGCCTGCTTCACAGGAGTCCGGGTTCGAAACCAGTGACTACAGATGTGATCCGAACGCGTCGGGCCTTACTATAGGCCCACCAAATTTATTATGCGCTTGGAAAAAGACCCTTTTAGCGTTTGCGGAATTGAGTTTTAAAAAATCCGAAAATTCCAGCCGAAAACATTTAAAAAAAACCAAAAAAAGTATACTCAATTTCCGATTTTCTTACAGGATTTAATGAAAAATGTTCATTTTAATAAAGCGTTTATGAACATGACAAGAAATTAAATGTAATTCATTTAAATTTTTTTGAAGAAAAATTGCATTTCATTTACATATCGCATAAATATTTAAATTCTTGCTATTATCGAGTACATGATTTTAAACTGGGTGTAACTACATTCCATCCTTCTGCTTGCTAAAATATATATATGAAATATTTCATTTTGTTCAATGTATATTTATTTAATCTGTACATTTCATGCAAAAACCTATTTAATTTTCAACTATGCAAATATTTTCTCTTCCGATACTAAATAACTTAAAGATATATGAATACTTCTGTGCCATTTCCCATGTTAAAAACTTTCTGTATCGGCACTGCTGACTCTAGATTGTTCTAAGGAGGTCCTGAATAAAATTGGACTCGAAAGGTCTCTTCTATATAATTACATATAAAATTCATATAGCGAGGTATAGAATTCTAACTAGTACTGGGTTCCGAATACCGTACAGAGTCAGTATCCGAGGCACCCAAAACCATCAAAGCCCTAGGCGAGCTTTGATTTATCAGGCCCCTTTTACATATGTTACAGATTTTGCATTATGTGAACTTAAGACATCACACAGTGTCTATGATCCTATTTAGTGCTGGATTCGGAGTGTCGACCAGTAAATTTTTGCACGTGTTTCAGACTCCTGGAAGCAGAATGCCCTAGGCATAAGACTAAGTTGCTCGTCCCGAAAATGTCTCCGTGTATCGAAAATTGTTATCGATGCAACATCTTAAGTTTGCTTTGATTTTCTATAAGAAACATCCAAAGAAATTAAGAAAAGTACTTAAAATAATGGAACTTTATCAATTTCATAAGCTAAATTACTGAGAAAATTATTTATGGATTAAAATTGTTGTTTATGATATGAAAATTTTATTCTAAAGAATATTTTTTAAAATAAAAACGAACTGAAAGACATTAAAACATTAAATTATTATAATGTTAATCAATTAAATAAAAATTTAATAAATTAACGAGTAATTATTATGACATCGTCACAATGCTCTCAATTTTAGTAGTGTCTTGCCTCTGTACATCATACTTTTCCTGTTAACAACAGAGTTATGTCGGTCATCTCTCTAACTCCATTATCGAGATTAAGGAAGGATAGAGAACAGACAGACAGACAGATGGATTCCAATGGAAATTTAAAAGTCTACATTTTTTTTTAAAATTGCCTCCCAAAATGAAATTTATTCTAATTTTAACAAAACTCTTCCTTTCTTTAAGGACTAACTTTTCATGTAAGTTACTTAAATTTAGATGGATTTTTCATGGATAATTTCATAACTATTCAGTAAATACATGAAATATTCTAGTTTAAAATTGGATTTTGTTTTTTTGGCTTTTTTTCGATAATTTCCTGTTTTTACGTAAAAGTCTTATATAATGCAAAATAAAAAATATAAAAAATTTTTGTTTACGTTTGCAGAAGTTTGTGCACATCTGGTAGAATCTGCGAAGGTTGAATAATAAATTCAATCTGTATCCAGAATATATAAAGTTTCTTGTATTCTCTTCCGAATTTTGTAAATTAGATAAAGACGTGTATACGTTTGACAATCTGTGAAATTGGCTGCTTCTGTACGTTGTTAAATATAATGTTACTTCAGGAGAACAGTATCAGTTTCAGTTGTTCTTCTATTGATAAGGTCATCAGGATCATCACGTGTAACTAATTCATCTGTTTTTTTGTTATTTTATAATTTACATGCAATAAAATGTAACATTCTTATTTATTTTATTCTTTAATCTCTAACAGCAATAAACGCGGGTGTATGTAAATAAATCGATTTGCCCCTTCTAAACATTTAACTGAGCTGCAAGTTTAAAAAATTTTAGACCTACAAATTCCCACTGTTTGTCTTTCCTTAATCTTGAGAATGGAGTTAAATATATGAAAGTCCAGGCCAGATATAGAAAGTTTATGGGACAGGATGCCCGATTAACTATATACGAACTTCCGAAAGCCACGTTATTTCAATTCAGATATAATCTCCTGAACCGATGAATGACCGGCGCGACTCCGTTGTTAACAGGAGAAGTATGATATACAGGAGCAAAACACTACTAAAATTGAGAGCATTGTGACAAAAATCGCAGCCCGGCATTGTCACGATGGCACAATAAATAATGGCTCGTTTTTTTACTCTTTCCGCATTAAGAGAACCTTTTTTGGGCCCTGCGGGTTCAGCCAGGCACAATATGTCGGCCGTGTGATGAGGGGCCGGGCCCGGTATACCACCCCCGAAAAATTTCGATCTCGTATCCATCAGAGCGGTAGGATTACGGCCATCAAATTGAAATGATTTAAGGGCTTAATTAATGACAATTTGTTTAAAGTTATAATTATTCGTATCTTTTATTTCACATCTTGCATTTAGAATATTTAAAAAAAAATTAATTCCGGCATTTAATATTATATGTATATAAATATTATTAGTATTAATTTAGCCCATCCCTCTGCTGCTCCATTATGGGCATGGTCGAATCCGTAAAGGGCTTACTAAAAAAGACCCATGGGACGGAAAAAAATTTTTTTATAGTATTAATAAGAAACATATTTTATTATCGTTTAGAATAATTTCTAGAGTTTTATAAGGAAGAAAATCGCGTGAAAGATCACCTGTTACTTTGACCAACTGAGGTAGGTACTCTTTCCAAAAGGCACATTGCTTGGCACGAGGTCCACGACCGATGATGCTCGAATTAACTGCCAAAGTTAGATACTCCTTTGCGTATGGAGTGTGGACGGGCCAATAGATGGGCTCCCATTCACCTCCTGGTCCTCTACTTGGGTTCCTACAAGGAAAAATAAATAAATTCCATCCTTAAAACATGTTTCCTGATTAGATAATATCACGATTTTGATTAATATTTTTATTTTAAAAAGTTCTTCGAAAGTTAAGTAATGACTTTTGGAACAATGTTATATCGAATTGTCCATACAAATCCGTATATAAAGTCGGATTCGACCGAGTTGGATTCATTGAATTTCTAACGATAGTAAGCGATTGATAATCGCGTTATTTTTAAAGTAAATTTATAGGGAAATAACAATATAAAACACAGAAAAATAAATTTAAGAAGTTTTATAGAAAGATATTGGAGAGTCACTGTCTATAAATACACCACGGCGTAAAAAATTCTCGTGGTGTAATAGAAAGTATAGAAGATAGTCTATTTTAGGAAAACAATTCGCTCGAATGCCATCGTTTTTCTCCAAGACAATTTCAACCCGTTTAGCAAACCATCTGATAGATCATGTGGATAAAAAAATAAAATAATAAAATAAAATAAAAAAAACTCTTGGATATTTGGATCGATATCACATCATCATCCCAAGTAATACCAACTTTTAACACAATTTTCTCAATCTCCGTAAAGGAAGTTTTCTTCTATTTTTCTTTTTTTTTTAAAGTGGAAAAATGAGGGGTATTAAATGATTTTTAAAACGCATAGGAATAATTTAATTTCAAATGAGGAATTTATAAAGATAGAATCGTCGAATTTATTTTTGTATGAGAAATCTTCCAGCTGCAATTTTATTATTGTAATAGCATTTCTCTTACGCAACGAGTATGAATCTTTATAAAATGTCTTTTATTATATTTTATCGATTTATTTTGATTTCATTTTATTGAATTTTTAAATTCTTATATTATATATTGATTATATTTTAATTATTTACCAAGATTTAAGAGTTAATAACGTGTATTTTCGTTCTGTTCTTAACTAGATATATGTTCTCTTAATAAAGGAACCTGCGGCTTTTGATAGGAGATAATGAGATTTATAGATGTAAGCAAAGCTTAATAAGACGATTACAAGCTAGTTTTATTATTTATAACCGTAAGCAAGATGATTATTAACTAGAAAAATGAGAAGTTCGTGAAGGTTAGCATCATATTTTTTAACACTTTTCCAAGAAAAAGATAATCTAATTAGATACGATCGTGATGAGAATGTTACTTTACTCAGAATCACCGTCGCATACTCCATAATATTAATTTATCTCGTTTAACTTGATAAATTTAGCTCTTCTTAGCTATGAATGGTGCCGTAATAAATGTTTGCTTAATTTATTTTAATAGTAATTGAAGTAGAATCGAAGAAAAGCGCGCCGTAATTAAGGTTTTTCTACGGATCCTTCGAATGTTTTACATGTTTTAATGGATGTAAAAACACTGGAGATATCTCTATTCCATCTTAGATACGCTATTCTTATGTAAATAAATTAATTAAATGCGTTAAAAACAATTTTTTATAGTTAGAAAAAGCGTAGAATTCGCATAACGGCCGAACTTTAATGTCATTCTACAAAGATAAATATAATTATAAAATTTAAGAAGAGAAACTAATGTCAAAATGCGATTTCCTCTAAAAGGATTTCAATGTATTAATCGTTAAAATTTAATTTAGTCAGAAATTCTACACGATCGATAATTAACTGTCTTTGAGTTCAGGATCTTAATCATTGCATACAATTCCCATTAGAGAAGAGAGGTCAAAATCTAAATTTCAGAGCGCTTTCACTTGTACATTTTCAGTAAAGTAAAACGAATTTAGTCACTCTCGAATGATTGATTTAATAATATATCAACGACACTTTCGTCGAATTTTAAGCTAATTTCTGGAAACATTCCTTCTTATATGCCATGTGCAAACACACAGACTTACACTACAGTCGATAAAATATATAATTCTGCATGTTTCTTTTAATTAAATTTTGTAATTTATTAAACTGTGAGAGCTCGTAATTCAATAAGATTAAAAGGTCATAAAAAAAATTCTGTACGTATTAACGGGGTGAAGTTTCTTCGTGTGCGTGCGTGTGTGTGTCTGTTGGTTACATTAGGAAACGGATCTCATCCATTCATATTAAGCAATGGATGTTGGACTCTCGACAGCCAAACACGTCATTGGTAAAGCTACATTATAGTTTATGACACTTCCACTTCTTATTTTAGTACCTTTCTTTATAGCTAGAATACAGATTGAGACTTTTAATCGATACAACCAACTGTTTGCTTTTAAATTTTATGTGTCTGTGAGCCGTCTTGCATCCATAAAGAAAAAATTATTATGCTTCTGTTGATATATTTTATTGTTTATATATATATATTTAGATAAACCATTTTTACGTATTTTAATACGAAGGGTAGCCCAAAATTCGCTTAACAATTGAGATTAACATCTTGCAAGTGTATTTTTGAACGTATCGTGGTTAACTGACTTTTGGTCCACCCTGTATAAACAGNGTTCTGGATATAGTTTATTCTAATGATATCTGCCTTTCTAAATTTTTTTTATATTTATGTAATTTATAAATTGTAATTGTAGCAAGAAGAATGTCTTTCTCGCTATTTATTTATTTATTATTTATCATCACTTTTACTTAAGTGATCACTGACAATCGGCAAAATATTCCAATCACTGTTGTAATCATTGCCATTGTGGTGCTTATAGTTTTAGATGATGTTGCACTGGTACATTCTGGATTTGGATTATTATGTGATGCTGAAAAAAATAAATAAATTAGAAAAATTATTTTTTAAATTATTCAGAATTTAAATATTTAAGAAATTCCTGTGTATAACCTGCAGTTATGTATGTTTTTAAAGATGGGGTGCATTGCCTGGTAAAGTGGCTTTAATACAGCTGGATAAACAAGCCAATGACATAGTCCATTTCAAATTTAACCAGCTATGTCATTGGTTTGTTTATCCAGCTGTATTAAAGCCACTTTACCAGGCAACCTGGTAATTTAAAAGCAAGTGCATTTCTATCAATTTTTACAGGTTATATGCAAGAAATGATAATTTATTAAACATAAATTTAAATTTGAATATTCTGTACTGTTTAATTTATTTATACTGTATTTACAATAAATATAAGTATTTTAATATAAGAATTTCAATACTAAACTTTTTAATTTTAATAATTTATTTTCATTTTATGATAGCATAAAAAAATATTAATGAATTAAATAAAAGAAGTTAAAGTATAAATTCTCCGAAACCATAATAAAATTACATTAAAAGCCTTTATCTAATTGAGTTTTTAACTATTATTATTATTATTAATGTATACCACTACATATTCATAAATATAATATTACATTATAACTACATAAAATATTTATATATTGCACTGTAAATATGTATAAATTTTATATAAATTATATAAAATTGAATATAACTTTCAGAATTCAAATATTTTAAATAAATAAATATTATTTATATTATTGTATATAAATTGTAATTTCACATATATACAGTTTTATTATTTTAGATTTTTAATAATTTAAATAAAAATCATTTGAATGACAATTCAAGAATCAAGAATATTTTTGATTCTTTAAGGTTTGTATATAAATAAATTAGCTAAATAAAATGTTGCACGTATTGAATAGAAGCGTTATTATTCTTTTACAAGGCAGTTTTAAAAGGCCAGAAATAAATAATTTTTCTAATTTAACAGAGAAGAATTGTATGAAATTTTGTATTCTTGGAAGAAAAGGAATTTAGGAAAAAGAAGAAGAAGCATTCCATTCTGATAATCCTAACAAATTTAACGAGCAAAAAGGAAAAAAACGAAGAAAAGAATTTAAATATAGAATGAAACACAATCATTATGAATTCCAGATGAGTTTTGCGCAAAACTAATCGATTTAATAAATTATTTCATCATTTGAAGATTTCTTTTTTACGGTCAGATTATTTTATTCTGTTAAATTTTTAAATTAAATCGATAAATATACTTTATGCCAACATAAACGTATAAACGAGTTTTCTCTTCCCCCTTTCTCTCTCTCTCTCTCTCTCTCTCGTGTATAACTTTTTAAACCGAGTAAACAATTTCTTTTCTTTCCCTACAAATAGCTTAGAGGAATTTTTATTCTGTATTATGCATTACTTAATTTTCTTAACTTGGATTTTATTTTATAACATTTGTGAGATTACACACAACTTTAATCGTTATATTGTGTGTAACTTTAAAAAGATTAAAGAAAAAGAAGATAATTTCTCTATTTATTTGACGTTTGATGACATTGTCTTTAATATTTTAAGTCGTTAAATTTACAACACGACTAAATTTCTAATTGCTTATTTATGTAAATCTCTCTGATTTGAAGACAGGTATTATTAAAGAAGAAAGTAAACTCTCTCTCTTTCTCTCCTTTCCTTGTTGAGTTAAAAGTATAAATACAGCATTAATTCGACTTTTATAAAAGACTTTTTTAAGAAGAAATTGGAGAATAATTTGGCTGCAATTCGAAAAAAAATTGTAGACATAAATTTCCACTGTCTGTCCTTCCGTANCGGATCTTGACTTCGTATGATGTTTCATACTTTTTTTATAATGCTTTTTACTGACAGATTTTATTTTTAATATTAAGTTTCGAGCATATTGGAAGGATTTTTTAGGGTAAAATATAAGGAAAAAATTAACTGAGAACGGCGATTTTCATTTTAATCGATAAAGATGAAATTGGCTTGTCAAGTTGGAACGAAAAAATAAATTCGGTGCATTAAAATTCTAACCATAACTGTCAATAACAAAACAACTTCGAGAAGTTGGAGAAGATATGACAACTGGAAGAGGAGGGAGGAAAGGGATTTTCATGCATAAAAACCAAGTTATATAATAAGATTGCTGGAGAAAAAAATAAATAAATAAAGCTAAATATTTAAATTTTAAAACGTATTTTCTATAAAATATTAATATTTGAAAATTTTTATGAAATAACTCACCCAGTTTTAGCGAAATTGGACCAATATCTCATTATCCTTCTGCTGAGTTCCGCTTCCTCGGGCGTATAGCCTAGAGTTGGATTGAGGGGTTCTCCGAAAATGAAATTGATCTCGTCACCGTGCAAAACTCCCATCCATGTTGGCCACGGGTTCACTGAATAACGGTGAGTGAAATAATACATGTACACTTCGTTACCCGTTTCTGCATACCTGTGAGCGAATTCGGTGACACTGCAGGTGAAGTGGTAATCCCCTACTATCTTGTCGACCGCATCCCTATTCTTTATAGGGTCATCAGGATTCAACCAGTCCGTGTATTCGAATATAATAGCCTCCTGGCCAATTTCTCCAACGTACGGGTTCAGTTCTTTGACCGACTTTATGAAATCTTCACGTGTCAGGTAAACGTCCTCGTGCAGTTTAAATAGTTCGGTGAGGTAATATATAATGAAATACATCCCCTCGTTCAGGTTGGTACCCATTAAAATCTTTGTCTTCTTGAAATTCTTATTGCGAAGGGATATTTCAGGTTTCTCGTCGATGAAGGAACCGTCGATTACAGGAACGAAGGGAAATTCTGCCACCCCCAAATTGCCCCACTCGTTCGTGACCAGTTCGAGTGGGTCCTTAGTTCGTAAACACGCCACCACGGCGCCCAAATCGTCTCGACTGTGCGGACAACTGACCGCTTCCGCTAATCGAAGACCCCTTTTTATGCTCTCTTCGCGGTCGAGGATTGCCCACGGGGCCGTGGCTCCTCCGCTTTGCATTATGGCCTGACTAAACAAATTCCTGCTCAGAGGGGATAATAAATGAAGACTGACACTTACGGCACCGGCGCTCTCACCGAATAGCGTGATGTTGTGCGGGTTACCACCGAAATATGCGATGTTATCTCGGACCCATTCCAGTGCCATCAATTGGTCAAACAGTCCCGCATTCCCGGGAGAGTCCGGTCGATCGAAATATAGAAAACCAAGGCACGCAATGCGATAGTTCATGGATACGAAGACGATATCTTGTTCCGTGACCAATATTTTTGGGTCGTAGACTTCTAGAGTCGAGGTACCACTATAAAATCCTCCACCATAGATCCAAACAAGAACGGCAGCCGGTTTCTTAGGTCTTCTGTGTGGCACCCACACGTTGATACGCAGGCAATCTTCGTTAAGAGGGGTGTTGGGATTCCAGATGGTAGCACCTTTGAAATCGTCGAAGAACGTGTCGGTTATCTGGAAACAAGAATGAGGCTTCTCTGTTGCGTTAAAAATCCCATCCCACTTGTCAACTGGAATTGGATGACGGAATCTATACTTTCCAGTCGGTGGTTTGGCATACGGAATTCCAAAAAAAGCATCTACCTTTTTTCCTGTGGCTGCACGTTGTGTTATACCTCTTACGTATCCTTTAGTAGTCCTTATTAGTAGAGGATCGTGTTTAGAATCGGAAGAAGGATTACTTCGCCCTAAACACATCACATAACGTAACGTCGTTATCATAAAAACGATTTTCACTAACATTCCACACGATGCCATTATCTAATAACACCTGAAATACACCGAAATTTATGGATTAATTCGATTCTACTATTATTAATAAGGCTATTATCCAACAATATAACATCAGTTCGTGGTAAAAATTGACTTTTATATAATAAATTATTAAATTAAATTTCGAAAAATACACCGTTTACGCTCTGATAATTTGGTGAATTATGCGTTAACGAAGGCTACCGAAGAGATTATTTATAATAATTTCTGCCTGTCTAACTATATTCTGCAATTATAATAAATACTGATGCATAATTGCCGCTATTAGCAGTATAATTAGATTAAACCAACCAATTATCTATCGATTACCGTGATTTATCATCCGATCTTCTAACTAGTGATTATCTTACTACTGATTTATTAATTTAGAAAGTCGAACGAAGCATCAAACTTACTTGAGTAAGAGGGATTTTTCTTTTATTTCTTTATATATTTTTGAGAAAACGGAAGGATCAGCTGTTATATATCCTCTTTTGATTTAGTTGTCACCCGATTCTGCTCATCCCTCTTATTTTTCTAGGCATTGCTGTGTTCTATCAGCGTCAGAGGATGATAAGATCTGTAATGGAAAACATGTTTCTTCAGTTATATAATGGCATGGTCCTTGAAAAAGATATTTTTAGAATCAGAATTAAGACCTTAAACTATGGTTAAATCCTTATAAAAAATCGAAATTTAATCTTTATTTTTTATTTTTTTTTATAGAAATTTTATTCTCGACAACTCGATGGAATGTTAAATAAAATATGTAAAGCTTAGAAAACCATTAATAATGTGAATGGAAGAAAAAAGAATAATAATAAAAAAAAATGTTTAAGGAAAGAATTCTAAAGATGTCAAAATTAATGAAGTTGACGTAAAAAATACGAAAGATAAAGTTTTAGAAAGTGAAAGAGCTTAAATATGAAATTCTGCAGCATCAATCAAGGATCAACTTGGATACAGGAAGTTTTAAAGCATCAATTAAAATGGATAAACGTCTCAGTAAGTTTAAATTTCTATATATATATTAAAAATATATTAATATAATATTTTTATCTATAAATATATAGAAGATTTTCGAATCTTTGGTTTGTAATTATTCCTCGGTTCAACACCTAATTAAGCAGGCATTAACATATTTAGAGAATGACAAATGGTACAGTACATTGCTTAATCACGATAGCTACAACATTGTACAAGATAATAAATTTAATCTGTGTAATCTCGAGACGGTTCTTTTTGATTAAAGAGATGAAGGATGGAGAATAAATTAAATTTATTTCACGATTCCTATTTTATATATCCGAGTATTTAAGTGTTTATTTTATTATTTTTTTTTTATGTTATAGAAATTAAGCGAAGGTAAAGACGATCTTCAAATCTGTTTGATTAAAGAAAAATAAAATCGATACAACCTTTGAAAGTAATTTAACGTTACAAGTATTAGGATCGTGTAATTCCGAATTGTTTCCTTTTTTTTTATTTTATTTTTGACATTTGTTTCTAAATATTGATCCAGTTCTTCTGATATAAAATAACGTTATAAACTTTATGCGTTATCGTATACTAAGTTTAATGGCAGTGGCTCGTTATCCATAAAAAAAAAGGAGTTATGGGGCCTCTAGAACAGGGGGCCCCAATCAATCTTTTATAAGAAAATATTTCTCTAAAAAATTCCATTCGAGAAAAATGTCGGAAGCCAACACTGAGGCTCCCTAATTCAAATTTACCTGGGCCCCATGAAATTATAACCCGCCACTGCTTAAGGGGAATGAGGAAATATAACCTTACAAAAGTAGTAATTTTATTTAACTTTATTATAAACTTTTGTGTGTTTATAAAATGTAAGAAACTATATAACTTATGCAAAACTTATGACCTCATGCTATGAGGTTATAGCTTAGAGCAGGGATGGCCAACACGTAGACCGCGGTCGACCGGTCGACCGCAAAGGTTTTGAAAGTAGCCCGCGAAGCTAAAGTTGAACAATTTGCTTTCACTTAAATTAATGTTTAAAAATCTTAATTCGATAATTTATTCCTACAATAATAGACTGTCTGTGCAACGTACCCATACTGTTTGTATTTATCCCGATGAACAATGCAAATGAATGTTAACGCATGTGCATATAAAAATCCTAAAATTGTTATCCCATATTCATAGTCGCCCGCAGATTATATTTTACCAAAAAAGCAGCCCCTATGGGATAAAAGTTTGGCCACACCTGGCTTAGAGCCTTAAACTTTTAAACTGATTATTATTAAATGGAAGGGAAAGGCCCTATGTTTATAGTGGCTTAATGAGTCTAAATCCGTCCCTGATACTGTTATTTAAGTTTGTTATCCGTTACCAAACATAATTGCAGGCTATGCCACTGTTTTGTAATCTGATTTGTTAAGGGCCAAATTTAAACTGGTTTGCCCCTAAGCTACAATAGGCCTATATACGAAGCTCTATCCTCCCACCAAATAATAATAAATTAAAAATTATACGCCTTAAGTAGTATGAGATCCTAAGCTGTATTTCCTATAACTTATACAACAGATGCAGTACTAAATTTACGTCTTTATTAAGTGAATTCTACTTTTCTGTTGAATTTAATTTAATTAATTATAACATTTTCTGTGGTTAANCTTGCATTTTTGTACGATTTTACTAATGATTCTTTGCGTACAAGAAAGCGATGTGGACGGTTCATCAAGATGATTCTTTGCATGGGAAGAGAAGTGAGAAATTTAATCAAGATAATTCCTTGCATTAAAAACGAAATGGATAATTTCATCAAGATGATTCTTTGTATAAAAAAAAAAGCAAAGTGAACAATTTCATTAAGATCAGTCTATCCGTAGAAAGCGAAGAATTTCATCAGGAAGATTTTTTTGTGTAGAAGAAAACGAAGCGAGGAATTGCATCAAGATGATTCTTTGTATAGAAGAAAGCGAAGTGGATAATTTCATTAAGATGGATATTTATATAGAAAGCGAAGCGAAGAATTTCAAGATGATTCTTTGCATAAAAAACGAAGTGGATAATTTCAACAAGATGATTTTTTGTGTAGAAGCGAAGTGGACAATTTCATTAAGATAAATCTTTACGTAGAAAGCGAAGCGAAGAATTTCATCAAGACGGTTCTTAGCGTAGAAGAAAGCTAAGCTTTACAGTTTCGTAAAGGTAAAAAGGAAGAATTATGCTGTTTTATTAAAAAAAAAAAAAAGTAAAGTTGTAATTTTGTTTCAAAATTAAATAGCATATGTTTATAGTAAATTTTAATAAATTCTGATGTGTATATTAGCGTAAACGTTGCTAAAACTCATTAGACGAAACTCCTACTCGAGCAAGGAATTGGAAAAGTTAGAACGCTTGCTTACACACATAGTTGTTTGTAAAAGTTGTTTGCTTGCGTGACACGGTCCAATTTAAGCGTTAAACACGCTCTCAACAGTCACTAATTAAAATCTTAAAAATATATTTTATTTTTACTGATATAACGACGTAAGAAACTTCCATTAAAATCCTACACTCGTATAAAAGATTTTTAAAAAATGAGTTAATGATAAATTGCCATTCGAGTAATTTAAATTATAATGCAAAAGAGGAAAGGATAAGTTTGCCATATCTTAAAAATAATTAAGAGAGAAGTAATTAAGAGAAATTACAATTTACAAATATACATTTTTTTCTCTGTTTCCTCTTACCAGAATTTGAAGAATGATCATCAGCAACTAAATGGAATCTTCCCATCGACAATATTAAAATTAAATGCGACGACATTAATGAGAAGGTAAAACGTAACTAACATCATTAGTATAACGACTCTAATAAGTTCAAATTTAAAATATTATTATTATTATTTATAAATTTTTTATATAGTTAAGTAAAAATTAGATATTTTAGAGTGTAATTATAGAAAAATGCATTTTTTTTAATGTATGGTACGAATGCTGTTTTGGTGTATGGTGTGTAATAGCACGTGTTTCATCGACATCGGCGATATATTTTTACTTTTTTTCTTTTGGATTTATTCGTGGTAAAGTAATCAAGAAATTTTTTCAGGCCGTGTCGTACATTGCAGTTGTTTTACCTGATAGAAATTGCACTATCGTCCCGCTTTGCTTCTGACAGTAAATGAGATTTTTGTCTGGCGATTTGCCAGTATTCCACTTTTCCAACATTATATACCTTAAAACTGTGTGCAAAATTCTAAGTATTCTATTTCCTTTCAAATCTAACGTAAACATATATATANAAAATTATTATTTAGGAAATAAAGTTAACCTTGCAAACAACGTTTATAATTTAATAAATTGTCATTTATCAGCTTTGCATTTAAATTTGTTTTTTTACGGTTTTTTAAACATTTAAAAAAACTTTTTTATTGTAGAATTTAAAAGGTTTAGTTAACTTTTTTTAATTTGCATTTTATCTATCGTTAAAAATTCAAAAAAAAATTGTCATTAAACAACTACGAACAATACAAAAAATATAATTTATCACTCGCATTATTGACTTAATTTTTGCACGTTTTATAATCAAATACATTAATTTTTCGGTTATAAAAATGTTTAAATTAACAAAATTCAAAGAAATAATTCAGATTTATTTACTAAAACAACCAATAAAAGTGCATGTCAACGTAGAAACACATCTGTATTTTCAATATGTAAATGCGCTTGCAGAAATCCGACATAAAACATTAGTTTTTTTTTAATATATTAATTTCTTATCTTATTGACACAAATTTTGCTTATTTTATAGTCCAATATATGGTTTTCTGTTGTAACAATGCACAAATTAACAGAATTTAAAGAGATAATTCATATTTATCTAGTAAAAGTGATGCTAAAGAGGAAGCACATTACCTTAAACGTGCCGTAGAAAATCAACAAAAAAAAAAAAAAAAACATTATTTTATGATTAATTACTCGAATTATTGATACATTTTACAGTTTAATACATTGTTTTTTCATTATAGCAATGTAAAAAACCAACAGAATTTAAAGAGATAATTCGTATTTACTTAATAAAAGAGGAAACACGTCAGTACTTTCAACACGTGAATGCGTTTACATATCGGAATAAAATATTATTTTATGATTAATGATATATATATATATATATATTTATTTATTTTTTCTTATATTTTACATTATTTTCATTAAAATATTCAGATATAATTGTTCATGCTTAAATAGTCTTTAATAAATAAAAATTAATAATAAATGGAAATATATCAGGCTGTGGCATGAGATCCTGTGTTATAGCATGTTTAGCTTATGTGTTATATTATAACTCAGGGCCTCATGCTGCTGTGTTTACATATAAGCTAAACATGTTCTAACTTAGGGTCTCATGGTACAGTGTTTACATGTTTACACACAAGCTAAATATGTTCTAATTGAGGGCCTTATGCTGCAGTATTTACACACAGGCTAAATGTAGTCTATCTAACTCAGGGCCCCAGTGTTTACACAGAAGCTAAACATGTTCTAACTCAAGGCCTCATGCCACATAAGTTAAATATGTTCTAATATGTGTGAACTTATAGGGCCTCACCCTATAAGTTCACAGCTTACAGCT